GTAATCTATGACTATTTTCTTACAACAGCTTATGAAGTTAACGTTAAAATAACGTGAGCCTAAGAGTGCCATTGTACAGCATGCGACTCATTTAACACCCCAATGCCAGATGCCAGATAAAATGCCCGGCATGGGTAAAACTAACGGAAACGCCAGTCTGAAATGCAAGAAAGGATAGTCTGATATGCAAGAAGTTTGCCTGCTAACTAGCAAGTGGTCAGCTGTATCAAGTTTTCACCAATATCTCAATGAAAATATGCATATCAGGGGGTACTTGTAATGTTTATCTAAGTTGTGGAAACCTGTCATTGTCATATTTAACAGTGTTAGTACACTGTGTAATAAAACAGACCGAAAATAACAAAATGACGTTTTCACCGTCAAAGAATAATTTAGAAATAACAGACCCGGAAGTCACATTGAATTTGTGTGACCTATATTCCGAACGATTTTTCATTATCAAATTTCAAAAGACCTGTCAAAGTTTCATTCATTTGCTTTGCTATTGAAAGTCTACCTATGTCTGACGTATATAGGACAAAAGAACGACGTAAATGCTGTATCTGTTAAAAAGTTAATTGAACATACACAAAAAGAAAATGAAAAGAATTTATAATACGAACAATCATTAACAAATATCAGAAGTGCTGCCTTTATTTATATTTAATATCACAGACAGTTGAAAATAATTATTATGAGCTATTGATGATTTTCTTTAGAAGCCGAGTTACACAAAGATTGTTTTAACAAAGATATATATTCCAATTTTGATTTACTGGCTTATTACAGTTGAATTAAACACATGGCAAAATTATTTTAATACATTGTATCAATGTTAGTAATTAAGTTTGTCACTTAAAAGAAAAACTTTACTGCTTTTAGTATATTTCAAAGATTTCACATTGTTAAACAGTAGTTGTAAATTAGTATAGTAGATTGATATAATATGCAGCAACGGTATGTAACACCTGTGATATATTAAGTAAAAACGTATAGCTATATAAATATTTATTTACAAATGTATATAAATATTAGTACACAAATGTAGTAGACGTTTTGGTAAGTTAAACGTAACAATACAGATAATGTTTTAATTATAGGCAGATCAAACAGTTGAATAAAGCAAAATAATGTAATAACATAAACTACTAATAAACTACATATCATAAATATATCATAATAGAATGTAGCAAAAATGAACAATACACACACAAAAAACAACAAAAAACAACGTGTTGCTATAATTGAACGTCACATGCAATTTTACAATAATTGTAATAATAGCAACAGTTTCAATAATAATAAATATAATGTACATGTATTGTGCAGCACCATTTTAAAATTACTAGAATTAGGATTTCTCTCTTAATATAATTCGGTCTGCCTTTGCCTCAATATTAAAAGAAAATGATGTTTTTACGGGATAGCATTGACATTACAAGTAGTGTAGGAATAAAATACAAATCGCATGTAAATGTATATACGTTTAAGTATGTAACATAATGTCTTATATCGAAAATGAAAGTACAAGACAATTGTTACTACTTCTAAAAGAATTTGAACTATTTACGAAAGTAAGTAGACGAAAAAAAACCCTAGTATATATATATTGGTCATACATGTAGATGCTTCAACAATTATGATTTACGCATGAGGTCTTCCAGAAAAAAAATGACGTCATCCATGCTCCAATATTGCACCATTTATTTATTTCCATTTAAAGGTTATATAAAGTTGTAATGTAACTATCAAATTAATATACATTTTATATACTCATGAATTAAAGCAATCATTGTTTTGACACATGTTTTGCAATTTTAATACATGGTATATATATACATATTACAGCAGGCATTGTTTTGTCAGAATTTGTCTTACACTAGCAATTGTTCTGATACCTATTTGTCTTATACTAAATATGTCCTTATCTTCTGTCGAATCTGTCTGTCACACACAGGACACTGAGTGAAAAGTATAGACAATGAAGCCATTTCAACATGACAATGATTGAATACCTCCAATTATCGTCATGATTCAATATTGCACTTTTGTTTATTTCCTTGGAAGTGTTTTAGAATAACCATGAGGCACTACATGTTTCCATTTCATGACACGTCAACCAGCGGCAAGTCGTGCAATGTCTGGACTGTTTAATGCACTTCAAATCTAAATTACAGTTTAAAAATATGTTTATTACACTATAAATTGTTCTGACACAGTGTTTGTCTTACACTAAGTATGTCCTTATTTTCTGTCTGTCACACACAGGACACTGCGTGAATAGTGTAGCGCACTCCATGCACACTCGGTGATGAGTGCACGGGAGGAATAAACAATTAACATTGTTTTTACCACATGTCATGCAGGTGTCAAAGCTTTTAAGACGTTGGTTTTCTTCAAGAGGAGTTTCTGAAATGTTCAAGATTTGAAGAGTTCAGTTCTTGAAGTGTATATGTATCAATATACATATAATATTATAATTAAAGATGTTTACATTGTAAATTATTATGCTACATATTTCTATTTAGACATATTACATTTAGACATACAAATTCCTATGATAAAAGTACTAGTAAATGATGACATACGAACAAAACGTGTCATGTATCCGTTCATTAAACAGGACCAGGCAAATCAATTTAATTCAGAGAGAGAGAGATAAATCACCTTTGGATTGGTTTGGCATACATATTTTCAATGATTTTGATTTATGTTATATTTCTTTGTAAAAAGAAGAAGAAAACAAATCGTTCTAAGTTTACTAATTCATACCTTGATGACGCTTCTCCAACTGGCGAGCTATCTCCTTACTTAGTTTTCTTTCTTTAACAACTTCTACCATGTCAATCAACTCTTCAATAGTTGGTGTGATAGTTCCTGTGATTTAAAACGATTTAATTCTCATGAAAAAGGATACATCAAGATTGAATGATATACAAAGCGAACAAAATTTCAGTATAAACGATGCAAACAATTGATATGAGTATTGGATGCGTAAACAAATTTGGAAATACATAATATACATAAATGTTTTAAGGAATCACATATACATGATGTAAGCTTATATTCCGTCATTATCATACTCATTCATAAATAACAAACTCCTCATGTTTATGATTGCCTAACATCTGACAGAAAATTTTATTAATGTGCTTATAATTTTCCTCTTCTTTTGATGTACCTGAATATAAAATGGACACATATTAATTTGAAAGTTTTATATTTATCAAGAGCATTTTTTTGTCTGCATCATCCGTCTAGAGTATTCATAACTTTTAACATCAATCTACATTGTATATAACATCTCAAATAAAGGTATAGCATGGTAAAATGTGAATATTTTGATCTAGGTTAGCAAATAATATCATGATCGCTATTAACAGGACTGTCAATTACCTTATAAATACAAGACAGATAAAACTTATGACATTTCTTCACTTGAAGGTTGTTAAAGCACTCAAATATCATACGTTCTACTGTTAAGTTTAAATGCCATGATTAAGCAATAAGAGTATTAGTGTATACAGATTTATTTAATGTAATGGATATATGTTAAAAAGTCTTTACTTGACTGTGTGATATAGATATTATGTTTTCATTCTTAAGTTCAAGAACAACACAAAATAAATTATTTTCGTGTTAAGAGTAAAATTAAATTATCAAAATGTTAATATTTCTTTTTTGATATTATTGAAAGCATTCACAAACACATACTTTAGTTCAATGCTTCCCATGGATTTTATCAAATGTGCAAGACCTAATCAATATATAATCAATTTAAAAAATTTACCCATATTCCTTAAATCATCTACAGCTTCATTTACGTCAGCAGTGTCATATCCCATTTCTAGACACGTGGTTTTGTGTTCTTCTAGCGCAGCTCTTAATACTGGATCTCTAAGTATCATCTGAGTCATTGCTCCTTGTAGATCCTCACTACCAACACTTTCATTATTCGTTGGTCCCTAAAATGTAAACATACTCACACGTCAGAATCACACGTATATGCCGATTGTTTCCTTATTTGCAAACAATGTTGACGGTAACTACAATATAATAAGTTTATAATAGACATTCTGAATGACTTGCATGACATCAGTCATTAGGAACACAATTTGAAAGGCTCTAAAGTGGCATTATAACCACAGAAAGAAAGCACCAATGGGTTTTATGGTTATAAATGATACATTTTTATTACAATCACTATAAAGAAATGAAGCGTATAATCTTTGAGAAACGATACACCTTATGTTAAAATGATAAACCCTCTAAAGCACTTTGAATAGTAACAAAACCATACACGGACCTCCTGATTATACGCTGAAGAAGCTAAGAGAAGAGCTATAAAGTCCTCGCCTTTCCTTTCCCTTGCATATGGGCATGTTGGGAACCAACGGCAATGCTCAGTCCACGGGACGTCTTCAGCATCCCAGCGCTTTAACCCTCCATCACAACTGAAGCATCGTACAAGATCTTCAACACCTGTTGGTACCAAAAACAATAGAGAAAACAAACAAAAAACACGTATAACAATAGTTAAATACAGCAAATCAATGCAAAGTTCATAGAGATTTAAGAACACATTAAGTACTATAATTTACATATACTTAATTGACCGGATATTAAAACTTTCTTGTTCGACATATCTCTGCTCTCTTAAATACAGAATCCTTTTAAATGCTTCACATAACCAATGTAAAAGATTACAAAAGGCATGTATTAAGGTCTTTTGACCTCAGTGGAGCTTCTTTTAGGAAGTAAAAGTTATAATTTTAACTGAAGTCGTAAATGAAGTCATAGAACAGAAGAGCAAGAGAAATATTTTACCTATGTAAAATAGCCCAGCATCTGCTAAATCTTCTGGTCTTTGAGACAGATGACTCGGCCAGCCAGTAAATGTAGAGAGACGGGATTCATAAGACTGATACTTTGGATGTCGACACTGAGTAGCGGAATCTACAGGAATAGAAGGCATTACAATCAAAATTTTATAATATAGGACATACAACATTTTTTTTCGATTAAACTTGACTTAACGTATTATATTTCCTTCCTTTTGACATTTAATGCATAAGGTAGTGTTATTTCTTTATGTATTTAGTAGCACGTATTGTTCCTTAAGCTTTAAAACATCCTAATGTTTCTGTTTTTACACGTGCTATACTCAATTTTTTTCACTTTTATTGTGAAAACTTCCGTCTTAACTTAAGCCGAAGAAGGAAATTATTACATTTGTTTTGAGATTTTTATATATGTACATTACTTTTATGTAAATTGTTTGTTTGGTTCTATTCTTATGCACAAACTCGCATTATTATTGCATGCACTTAAAAACTGATTTACATGAAAGTGGGCGTCCTCGACCGAGAAGTTTAAGATCCCAATCGCTGTTGTGCCGAATCACATCATGGACATTGAATTCTTTGGAATATTGTTACTCTTTATAAGCTCCTAAAACATTCAATACAAGTTTGTCTTTTTTGGACACTGGTTCAATAATTTGGAGACGTTAAGGACGCTGATTTATAATCACTTGCTCTTCACCGCTTTGATTTTGAGTTCCGTCAGATGCTTTTGATTCTTTCTTGTTAACAAGCTATCCAGCTAGCTTACGGAACGCAGGTGGTTCTATTCAGGTGCCCGCTCTTACCTGAAATAATGCACGAAGTGGCATTCGGGGTCCTCCTTCACTAGTACAGATGGTAAATTGCTAAATGTCGGTGTGACTTAAATAGCAACGCAACAAAACACAAAAAAAACCCCAGATATTACTTACTTCCTTGAATTTTTTGTGGTTTCTGACAGCTAGCCCTAAAATCAAAACGTAAAATAACATATAAGTAACAGACGTAACAATAGCATTGTTATTGACAAAAAGGATTATTCAATTACATGTTGTTTGTTTAATGCATTGTCAGAATTATGGCATGTGATTTTAGACGTACAATGAATATTTAGTAAAATACAATATGACCATGAATATATTATTGATATTCCGAAATAAATGATTACCCATTTTGCAAAACAATTCTTATATCGGACACCATAGACATTTGAACTTCATTTGTTTTAGAATAAAAATTGACACATCAGATATGATCATCAAAGAGATAATATATCAATTTTATTTAGTTTGAAGAGGTATAATAAATATCTAGTATGTTAACGTATCTTCCTTTGTATATAGGTTAATGAGATTGTGTCATTTTTTTATTGATATGTTTATATTGTACCTTTATGGAAGGAGGTACAGACAATTTCCAGAATTTCTGACGTGTTCCAGCAAAGGATCATCACGATCTGTAAAGTCCTTTAGGCCTATGCCACAACTGAAACATCGCACTAGATCTCCTTCATCTTAAATAAAAATAAAAATTGAAAGTAAATTAAGTTGAAATTTAAGAATATTCAACTCTTAATCATTTTAACCTCTTCGTCTTCAGATGACATACAATAAGACAATATAAATAGCTTGATGTGACTTGATGGGTATTGAAAACGGATTCAAGTAAAGATCGTTCAGACCTGAATTGCATTTAAGTAATATATACAACGGCAAATATTTGGATATAAAGTAAAACTTTTGCATAAAAATCGGTCTTTCTTATCATTTAATTTATGATTTTGACATTGCTTAAAGTACGGCGATTTTTTTAGCAGTATCCTGTAAATATACATTGACTACATTTATTGTTTCAGCAATATTTATAACAGTAGCAGTGATATCTTTATAGAAATCATATAGAACTATAAATTAAACTACCCACAGGGTTTGTATGAACCAGGAAAATTTGTTATAATTCAGATGATGAGGAATGATATGTCTACTACTCGTTATCGTTTTATTAAAATCATTCTATGGTTTCATGTATGTGATAAATATACTTGTAAAGAAGAATCCTGCGTTGCAAAGACAAACTGGATCAGGATTTGAACGAGTCCATCTAGCAAAGGATCTAAGTCTTTCACCGTACTCAGCATACATAGGATGTCTGGCTTGGTGAGTTAGTCTTACGGTAGCTCCGGTCACTCCATTATGTAAAGATGGTAGCCTTTTAAACGGGTTTAAACATCCATCTCTGACAAAAGGTATCTCCGAGTTCATGGAGTACTTATGTGCATGAGTTGGAAACGAGGGTCCGTTTGAAAAGGCAATTTCACTCCTGTCTTCACTTGCTTGCTCAGAGGAAACCTGTTGCGGATACTCATTTCTAGGAAGAACACAAGCAATAGTATTTAGTCAATTCAAGTTATGTTAACATAGAGTCATTTTTTTTAACTCATAATATAATATTCAATAAAAACTGTCGCACTTGTTTTGTTAGCCCCGTACTACACATTTTAAATTCAGCAATGTCTGGGAAAGTTAAATATCCCCTCTGCCAAGTGTTCTTTTATTCAGCATTACGTTTGAAGCGTCGTTCACACTTGTGTACAAATGAGTGGAGTATTCCGCACATATGTCGCTTGCAATCATTTGTCTCGAATTTGTCTCTGCTTTCAATTCAGAACGAGACAAGCATTTTGCTCCGTTAGAACGTTTTCTTAACTGACATCTCTTTTTATAAAGTACAATGAGGTCTGATTTTGATGCAAACTTATAATTTATGATTTTAGTACAATTCCATTCCATTTTTTCTGTTCCAGGGTAAGCTGTATATTTTGGTCATTCGTTTGACATATCTGAAATAAAAAGAATTTGAAAGTAACAAAATTTGAATTAACATATTAAAGATGGCTGTAATGCGCATTTCCTAATATAATCTGGGACGGAAGAGTATCTTTCTGTCCAAGATATAATAAAGAATAATATCACACTTTGGGAATGTCTAAAAGTCATTGAAAAAATCTCTAACACTTATTTGAGATAACAGATATGAAAACCTAAGACAAAAGCGCTAAATTAAGACTTATGAACAAACACTTTATTCGAATGATTGTACCCTAAATTCTGATTATAATAATTAGGCAAAGTGTACATTTACCTATATCAAAACAAAAGAAGAAATAAAATATTTAGTCTAAATTATATGAATGTTCAAAGCGATACGTATAGCCTAAAATCAATTAATACGATTATGCGATTCAATTAATGTTTCACAATATAAATAGTTTAACCTAATTTTGCGTCAATAGTAGTCCATACAATAACTTAAAAATTTTATCGATCTTCTTCGAACTTAACAATGCAAATCACTTACTTTCCTCCTACACTCAGCTGTTTGTTTGTTTACTAAATTTATTGCGCGTGTCAGTTTCTATATTTATATAATGATTATTAGATCAAACAAACACTGATCTGTTCTTTTTTTTAGCTGCTCTAAATCTTGTTTTTCCTTATTCATATCTATCTAATAAAACAGAAGCAGGTAGTATGTTATGAACATAGGTTTATCTCATGAAGAGAATCAACAAACTAAAATAGGGCAGATAAACAAGATACAAATACACGTAGTTGCATTTTGAAACGGGATTGATCTATCGTGAATATATTATGATTGTATGTACATTTAAAAAAAATACAATTCATTTCTTAAAACAAGTATTATTTATCATAACTTAGATATATTATGGAATGTCATTTGAAGACGACAATCCGGATAACAAGATCAGCTGTAGACGTCCAGACGCATCTACTCCGTTATTACGAGGGGATTTTAATACATTTGTAGACTGTGCATATAACTTTCTTTTTAGGCAAATGTAATTCTTAAAAATAACATGACTGGAAACGGCAATTTAATATACACTTGTACATGAAATTTCAATCGCGTATGACAAACTGTCTGTATATGAGGGCGCATAAGGCAATGCCATCCGACTGTGACCGCCCAAGATCACGATGGTGTTTTCTGACGTCAGCGACGTCACTGGACGTTACTTAGATTTCTGATGTGTTGTACATCGCTTATAGTCCAAAAGTAGCGTCCGTTACGTTCAATACATTTCTGATGTCGATAAATCAACTGATTAATAATGTTTTCGTACCATTTTGAAACATTTTGATAATTTATCTATTTTAATGGAAAAAAAATATTAAAAAATATTTAAAAATCCACTGTAAAATTAAAATATTACAATTTATGATTTAGGAGTGTAAAACAACATAATTTGACTAGTGTGATTATTTAAAAAAAAATGCAATATAATAAAATAATCGTATTAAGTCTGAAATAAACAAGAAATTAGATAAGAATATAAAATCTAAAAATAATTGGGGTACATAAAATTTTTATATCATTTTTTTATGCTTTTCAGTGGATTACTGATATATCCGTGAATATTATATTTGATAATTTCACAGTAAAAATTATCAAAATATAATTTCACTCTTTTCAATGACGAAACTACTTTTTTCAAGATTTTCCCCATGTGATACCTCAATTTTATTTTTGCTGGCAATTCTGACAATGTCAGGTTGTTTAAAGAAAAGCAAAGCTGAAATTGATAAATAACTTATATGTCAAAAGTAATAAAAAGAAGAAAACTTACTTCTATTCATTCAAATTCCAATCACCAAATTTCGTCTCTATTTTTTTTTCATTTTTACAGTCTGAAAAACACATTCCTTCCACATGCAAAACTGCTCTTGATGACATTTGGGCATATTAAAGTATCCTACGAGCAATAACTGCCGTATGCTTTATGAAAACTTGAAAAGCAATGACAGCCATCCCCGTAGAATATGTAAACAACCCAGCGTTCCTGAGCCAGCTTTTGAAGTTTTCCATTTTCGTAGCTGCTTTTTGAATGATTTCACATCAGTCAACTCTTATTTTTTGTCTGTTACAATCCTCAAATAAGTTTTCTTTCTTTTAAAAAGATGTATGACTAACAAATCCAAATGATATCCCTCTGAATCAAACACAATTATTTTCCTCCCGTGAAATACACAAAAATGGCTGCCGGTTACATTTAACAAAGCCAGGTCTAATATAAATTCGCTGTAAGTAACGAAAATATGGATGGATGGTTGGACTTTTTCTCCTACAAGAATTGTTTGTTTTTATTTTTAAAACAAGCGATCATTCATATTTTTTTAATAAAATGAATAATATCACCGTCATTTAACGTCGATTGTCGAACTAATTTTTCAGCTCAAGACTTCTTGTATTTAATGAGAAATTCCGACTAAATGGGGCTCTCAATGGGGAAAACAGATTTTAATATTAACGTTAATGTTATGGAAACTTCGTTTTAAATTGTTTTTAAGCATAAAATAAAAAGAAAATTTGTTTGTTTGTTTTGTAAGATGTAATTTTATTTTTCATCTCGTGAACTTTAAAAACAATATTCTCACTCGTAATTACGCCACTCGTGAGAATACTGTTTTTAAAGCCCACTCGATGAAATAAAATTTCATCTTACACACAAACAAACAAATATTCTCTATTTATTACGCTCAAGACATCCAGCGTTTTATTACAATTTTAATCGTTCCCTGTAATACAATCTTTTTCTTTTAAATATAAATTTTACCTTACCACTTTAAAAGAGTAATATGCACGGTGCCTACACTCAAATCGGCACTCTCCTACAACTCCCTAACTGTCACACGGCGATCAATTCCTAACACTTCCTTGCTTCCTCCCTGATCATGAGTCGTCCTGAATACTTTCTCGCACTTCAGAGAAATGTTTATGCCATTTAAAAACAAGCTCACGGCTATAAGATGTCTAACCTCGACTTTTTTGCAACATTTTATAAGTGTCAGTCGGTTTTTTCCTTGTTAAAAATGTTATAATTGCCCTGGTTTCCAGCTTATCTTGGGACATCATTTCTGACGTCAATTCTGTTGATGCTCTTACAGCGAAAATGTTGTTTATTCAAACGCCAAAGTCAAACAGACGTCATATTTTCAGGTAAAGTCGTAATAACGTCATACATTACCTTTCCGGATTTTTAAGTGTTTATCTTATTGAGAAAGTAGTATGTTTACACACTTAATAATAAGTTCATTCTGGGGGCTGGCGCGTTACCATCTTTATGAAAATGGCTGGCGCAATTTTCAATCTGAATTTTCATTGTTTTGAAAAGGAGTAACAACGCTATCAGTTGATACAATTTACATGATTTAATGAAAAATTTCTGAAATGAAAAAATGAGGACATTAGTCTACGAATATATTGAACGCCCCTCGTATATTTAATAATAAAAAATGACCGAAAATAAGAAGAATACTTTGCCATCAAATAATTGATTTAAACAATAAACAAATGAAACATGTGAGAATAAGTGTTTATTTATGAAGCATATGTTAAATCTATAGATTTTTACATACTATACAATGAATCAAATGGCGTTTAATTAATTTACCCAAATTTAAAGTGACAATATGCTTGTTTTTTCGATGGAGAGTTGAATAAGATATATATTTCTAGAGATTTGCTATTATTCTAATGATAATTGATAATAAAAAACGTGTATGATACAATATTAAATGTACCACAATACCCATGTTTTCTTAAAAAAAAACAACAACAAAAAACAACAACAACAACAACAACAAAAGCGTTACCGACTTATTTCTGGTCGCTTATAATGAAATATTCTGTTGGTCCAATGGATTATTGACTAAGTTTTCATAGTAAAATATAAAATTGAACGCAATTTTGGCAAAACATCAAGTCTTTAACTTTATTTTTACCTATTCACTAACCATTTATACCTGGATTAGCATAATGTCAGTTTAAGAAGCATGTCGCATTTATATGTTGGGTTTGTTTTTTATTCCAATGGTGGATAAACTGTTACGTAACTAGTTAACCTCTTAATTAACTAGTTAGGTATCAGGTTAACTAGTTACGTAACTAGTTAACCTCTTAATTAACTAGTTAGGTATCAGGTTATCTGGTGGCAGAAATATGCCACCATACTATTATAATAATAAGATATATATAATTTTTAGTATCTCTATTTATTATTACAGGTGACACTAATACTTTTGTTATATTAATAAATTTTCATTATAAACAATTTAATTTTCGTAAAATTTGATTTAGATAGCATAAGAACATTGATATAAAAATAATAATAAAATATAGAAATATCAGTTAATTACGCAACGTACTTCGTTAGGAGTAATCCGGTACGTACCGGGACCAGAGTTTAGCTAGATTTGCAAAAAAGATCAATTATTACATAAAAACAATAAAATTTACATAGTGTTTAGTATATTTGGATAGTTAAATCTTTATACTATACACTCACAATATTAACATGTTCTTTCCTACTTTAAAACAAATTCATATGTAATATGATTCTTGTTAACAAAAAATCCTTTGACATAGATGATTCATGAAAGTTTTTGTCGAAGCCAAGATATATAACTGAAGTCAAATGACAAAAGAACAGTATAATTTCTCTATTTATCTAAAAACATAAATAAGTATACTTATTTATTCACCTTCATAAAAAAGAAAACAAGAAAAAATATGGACTGCTATAACCTAAAATATTATCAAGGATGAGAAAAACTGCCTTATTTATCGTTGAATATCACAGATACAGAAGAATTTATGGCAAATAACAATAACACAAAAAGACGAGCTGGATAAACGATAAAAATATTTCGTTCTATATAACTGTGATTATAATTTAAAACCACAATACATTTTATGAATAATTTACAAAGTGCTCAATGATTAAATTTCTTTAAAAAATGTATCACACTTTGATGATTTAAAAAAGATATAAATACAAACACCAACAATAGTTGATACACGCCATGAGGGAATTTTTTTACAAATGGATACGTGTATGATTGTTAAGTGTATTTATAAACATGAACATTGTTTGATTGAATATTGAATCTGGTATATTAAACCTTTATTAATCAATAGGTTACGTGTATGATTAGGTTCCGATAAATTTGGCAATTAAGCTGTAATCATTTTAAAATTTGACTAGCTATTTACAAAATTATTGTTCATTCGTTCCCAAACCCTTTGTTACGTGTTGTTTCGACAGGAAAATGTATTAAATTAAATATTTATTCAAATATTGTATTACTGGTTAACGCCTATTATACTGACGAAAAGGCGGATTAATTTCTTCAATACATTATATAATAACAAATCTTTCACATTGTAGAATAACAAGTGTTTCCTTTCAATTTTCAATTAGTTGCTTTTAGACTTTTGCATTTATTGATATCTTAGAAATACATAACTAACTATAAAACAATTAAATATTTGATGTTGTAGAGATACATACAGTATTATAGCTACAATATATTACTAGAGTATACCTGAGAGTCGAATGTTTATTTACAAATCTGCCTACACACGGACGCACACAGGCAAACACTCACGCACACACAGAGAAGTAAAAACAGTACGAAAAATTGGCACACAGCAGCCGGTACTCGAAACACGGGTCTCTAGATTGCCGGTTCTATATGCTAACCACTACACCATAGCGGCCGTTGCAAATCAACCGTGCTAATTGTCTTTTTATTGTGAGACAATCATCTTTATAACCAGAGGGGCAATCTATTTATAGCCAAATTTACCGCTGACGCTGCCTATATACATAATAATACATATATACGTTAGTTAGTATTGGTTTTAAAATCCCATGACATTAAACAATATGTACAACAACATTTCAATTAAAAGACGGAAACGGCACTTATGTAGTTAATATTATAGATTTAATATCTACAAGTATATAAACATTTTAGTAATTGAAATAATGTCTAAATGGCAAATTTCATTTCTACATTTACTTGTGAAGGAAGACCTCAGATGCAAATCCTTGCATAAAAGACGCTTTTCACATAACAATTATGTCTCCCCTGGCCGCCAATTTTGGAGTCACTCTAAATATATCATATAAACAAGAGGGCCATGATGGCCCTAGATCGCTCACCTGAATTATCAAACTCATCCAAACAATTACCTAGACAAGCATTCTGACCAAGTCTCATGACAGGTGAGTCAAAAATGTGACCACTACAGTGTTGACAAGGATTATCCATATTTGAGCAGTGCGACCTAGTTTTTTACCCAGGTGACACATATTCAAACTTGACCTAGAAATCATCAAAACAAACTTTCAGACCAATTTCTAGGATACTTGGATCAAAATAGTAGCAACTAGAGTGTTAACAAGATTTTTCTATTTTTAGCTCCGGTGACCTAGTTTCACATGCGATTTCGAACTCATCCAAGCAATTACCTAGACAAACATCCTGACCAAGTTTGATGATAATTGAGTCGAAAATGTGACCACTAGAATGTTAACAAGGTTTTTCCATATTTGGGCGGTGTGACCTAGTTTTTCATCCAAGATGACCCATGTTCGATCTTGACTTAGAAATCATCAAAACAAACTTTCAGACCAATTAACAGAATATTTGGATCACAACAGTAGCCACTAGAGTGTTAACAAGATTTTTCTATTTTTAGCTCCTGTGACCTAGTTTTTCATCCGAGATGTCCCATGTTCAATTTATTCCCAGCAATGACCTAGACAAGTTTCCTGACCAAGTTTGATGACAATTGAGTCAAAATTGTGACCACTAGAGTGTTAACAAGGTTTTTCTATTTTTAGCTCCTGTGACCTAGTTTTTCATCCGAGATGACCCATGTTCGAACTCATCCGAGCTATCACCTAGACAAGCATCTTGACCAAGTTTGATGATGATTGATGCAAAAATGTGACCGCTAGAGTGTTAACAAGGTTTTTCTATTTTTAGCTCCGGTGACCTACTTTTTCATCTGAGATGACCCATGTTCGAACTCATCCGAGCTATCAACTAGATAAGCATCCTGACCAAGTTTGATGATGATTGATGCAAAAATGTGACCGCTAGAGTGTTAACAAGGTTTTTCTATTTATAGCTCCGGTGACCTAGTTTTTCATCCGAGATGACCCATATTCGAACTCATCCGAGCTATTATCTAAACAAGCATCCTGACAAAGTTTGATGATGATTGGGTCAAAAATGTGACCACTAGAGTGTTCACAAGGTTTTTCTATTTTTAGCTCCTGTGACCTAGTTTTTCATCAGAGATGACCCATGTTCGAACTCATCCAAGCAATTGACTAGACAAGCATTCTGACCAAGTTTGATGATGATTGGTTCAAAAATGTGACCACTAGAGTGTTCACAAGGTTTTTCTATTTATAGCTCCTGTGACCTACTTTTTCATCCGAGATGACCCATGTTCGAACTCATCCAAGCTATCACCTAGACAAACATCCTGACCAAGTTTGATGATGATTGGGTCAAAAATGTGACCTCTAGAGTGTTCACAAGGTTTTTCTATTTTTAGCTCTTGTGACCTAGTTTTTCATCCGAGATGACCCATGTTCGAACTCATCCGAGCTTTCAACTAGATAAGCATCCTGACCAAGTTTGATGATGATTGAGGCAAAAATGCGACCGCTAGAGTGTTCACAAGCAATTGTGGACGGCCGGACGGACGACGGACGACGGACGACGGACATTCACCGATCCTAAAAGCTCACCCTGAGCAAGCTCAGGTGAGCTAAAAATCGCTCATAATCCAATCATTTCCAAGAAAACTGATAAAAACCTTTTACATATGATCTTAAGATTTAAAATAGATAAATTTTATTTTAACCATTTTCATATTTTGTTCATGGAACATATTGGAACATGGGAATATGCACCATATTATTAAGTTCATTTACCAGACTCAATCAAAGATTAAACATTTAATGTTTTTTTTTAAGTAAAATATGTTTCTTATTACATGGTACACTTAACTCAATTACATATAAACATACATACAAAAACATGTGTACATAGAAAATACATATATTGGCAGTATTGGAGGGATTTCTAAAGATAACTATTTTTACATTGTTTAAATATACAGTAAGTAAGTAAGCAAATTCTTTATTAAAGTGACATGTGTTATACGTATATACATACACAAAAATACACAAAGATGAACGCCCGGCCCATAGGACCTTTAATTCACTTTAACAAAAGATCATAATCTGAGCACGTGATATAGTTTTTAACACGTTATTTACATAATAGTAAATTCATATCAATACATGTTATGCATTTACGGACAGTTCAATTTTACGATATGACATACAATTATCAATAATTAATTAATCATGTATTGATCTATGATATAATAAGTCTCTCCTTAACAGATATGCTTGTACAATAAATTTAATAACTTTATTTTGATGGTTGTTTACGAGGTAAAATAGTATACATATAGGATGAATTGTGTATATATAACCGAAACTGTAAGGACTGTTTCCCTTTAACATAGTAAGTTCTTAAGAACACTAAGTAATACTTTCACTGCGGATATAGTACATTTAATTGAATTATTTGCAATGTATACATATATGAATATTGTGACACATTCATTTTATTACCCGAGCAGCAATCTATGTATAGCTACTTTTACCGTTGATGCTGCCTATATACATAATAATACATGTATATACGTTAGTAAGTATTGATTAAAATCCCTTGACATTTTACAATATGTTCAACAACATTTCAATTAAAAGACGGAAACGGCATTAATGTAGTTAGTATTATAGATTACAAGTATAATTATATACGTTTCAGTAATTAAAATAATGTATAAATGGCGACTTTCTAGATTAAGTAGTGCAGGAAGACCTCAGCAGCAACTCATTGCATTTAAACGCTTTGCACATTACACTTATGTCTCCCCTGGCCGCAATATAGGAGTCATTTTAAATATATCATTAAAAATCTATCATAACCCTATCAATTTTATGAAAACTGATAAAAAATCTTTTACATAAGATCTAAAGATCTAGATAAATTAAAGTTTAACCATTTTCATAAATAATAGTTTAACCATTTTCATATTCTGTTCATGGCGGCATATTTGAACATTGGAATATGGAACACTGCCTTCAGACTCAAACAAAGATTTTAAACTTAATGACTTCTTTATAAAGATACGTAAAATATCATTAGACATGTTTCTTATTAATTGGTGCACTTAACTTATTTACATATAAACATATATAAACAAAACATATATACATAGATACATAGGATACATATATTGCCAGTGATGGAGGGATTTCTAATAATAATAATAACTATTTTTACATTATTTAGATATACAAACATGATGAATTGTGTCTATATTAACGATATTGTAAGGACTTGTTATCCTTTATCATCATAAGTCCTTACAATGACCCAGACAGAGCACTCAGTAATACTTTTCCAACGGATATAGCAGTTAAATTATTTGTAATGAGTAAGTGTATATTACAATGATCATGAACGTATTAACATCATGTTATGCATCGAAAATGATCTCACATGTCAATTGCTACTACTATTGAAATATTCAAGAATTATTTTAAAAATAACAATAACTGCAATAAAAAGACCCCTGTTAACTGGCGACAAACATAAAAGTTGAATAACAAATGCTAGCAATAATGATATGTTCATGTACATGCAAATTACTACTATAAAATAACAACACCAATATCATAAACATCACTCAGCATATGTGGCATGTTTAACTCAGAATGAAATAATTGCCCTTCATCGAAACAAAATATAAAGAGTCACACCAAACATGCAATGTTAATTTAATCGTTTGTTTTTGTATGGTTACAAGTTGTAAAATGATGATGAAAGTATTAACATCAGCAGCAGCAAAGTAATGCGTATCAGTAATTAAAGGGAACTGTAAGCTGCAAATACCTGATATGATAACAGTCCCTTAGCACGTGTGGCATGTTTTTCTCAGAATGAAAAAAATGCCATGTACATGTCACTCTTCATCGAAACAAAATATAAAGAGTAACACCAAACATGTAAGGTAATTCTAAACGTTTGTATGTGTATGGTTACTTGTTGTTGTATGAAAAGATTTGCAACAAGTTGTTTATCTGAAGATATACTGTGCTCATCTTTGAGCTTAGGTAAAGCCTGTATTATGAAAAAAAAAGACAAATGACAAGCTTAAAGTTATACGCCTCCCAACTGATATACATGTATATACAATATGAATTTTAAAACCACTATATAGAATACTGAGTATATACAATACAAATCAACTCATATTAAGCAGTGTAATTCAAATGAAAATTTGGTAAACTTAAAACATAAAAATTAATATGATTTATGAGTTGCGGCATAGCCGATTGGATAACGCTTCTAAGGATCGCAAGTCGCATGGGGGTTCAAAATCGGTCATATGCAAACCGTTGAGCAAGAAACTTTTCAATCAACTGACAGCTCCCTACACAACTAAAATAATTTCTGTATAAACCAAATATGATTCATTTCAATAGTTACTACTTATTGATGCACCAAAGCCTCTAGGAAGAAATCTTGAGCAATGATCTGATTTTAGAATCACTTTCGACACAAAGAATCCATTTCAACATTGACAATGATTGTATACCTCCAATTATCGTCATGATTCAATATTGCTCTTTTGTGTATATCCCTGGAAGAGTCTTAGAATAACCGTTTTGCACTACATGTTTACATTGCATGATATGCAACAAGCTGTCAGTGCAATTTCTGGACTGTGTGATGCACTTCAAATCTAAATTACAGTAGAAATTGTCGTGACATAGTATTTGTCTTACACTAGAACTTGTTCTGACACGGTATTTGTATTACCCTAGAAATTGTTCTGACACAGTGTTTGCCTTACACTAAGTACGTCCGTATCTTCTGTCGAATCTGTCTGTCACACACAGGACACTGAGTGAAAAGTGAAGCGCACTCCATGCATACTCTGTGATGCGTGCACGGGAGGAATAAACAATTAACATTGTTTTTACCACATGTCATGCAGGTGACAAAGCTTTTAAGTCTTTGGTTTTCTTCAAGAGGTGTTTCTGAAGTATTCAACATTTGAAGTTTTCAACATTTGTTCCATATTAAAAGCTATCAATATTTGAATTGATCCATATTTGAAGTCTTTCAAACAATATTATATTCTATTGACTGATGGAAGAGAATAGTTTTTATAAAGAATATGAATATTATGCATATCAACACAAAGTGATTTCAAGATAAGATAATATACTAATTGAAGGTGTTTTCAATGTTAATATATGTAATGCGATATGTTTCAATATATATTTAAATTAGACAGAAAAATCCTATAATAAAAATACGCATAAATGATGAATAACGAACAAAAATGTTATGTATCCAATTCATTTATCCTGAACAGGCAAATCAGTTTAATTTAGAGAGTAATCACCTTTGGATTGGTTAAAACATATCCATATTTTCAATGATTTTGTTTAAAGTTATGTTTTTATTTTGTAAAAAGAAGGAAAAATCCGTAATAAATTTACTAAATCATACCTTGTTGACGCTTCTCCAATTGGCGAGCTATCTCCTTACTTTGTTTCCTTTCTTTAACAACTTCTACCATGTCAATCAACTCTTCAATAGTTGGTGTGATAGTTCCTGTAATTTAAAACGATTTAATTCTAATAAAAAGGATACATAAAGATTGAATGATATACAAAACGAAACTAATGGCAGTAAGAACGATTTAAACGATTACTGAATGCGTCAAAAAATTTGGAAATACATAATATACATAAATGTTTTAATGGAATCAAATGTAAGCTAGTATTACGCCATTATTATTCTTAATCATAAATTTCAATCTTTCAATGCTATACATTGTTATGAATGGGTTTAAAACCCTTCTCTTTTAATGTATTAGGCATATATTAATTTGAAAGTTTTGATTTTAAAATATCAAGAACAATTTATATATCTGCATCACCCATTTTGCAGTATTCTTAACTTTCAACATCAATCTACACTGTATTTAGCGCCTCAAATAAAGCTATTACGTGTTAAAATTTTAATATTTTGATCTAGATTAATTTACCAAATAAAATATGGTTGTCACAATGACGGTCATTTATCTTGTTAATACAAGACAGACCAAAATTATGACCTTTCTTTTCTTTCAGCGAAACTTTTCCGACTTGTAAAACATTTGGAAACACATTATTGTTAAGTTAAATGCCACCCTTAAGCAATTAGGGTTATTTAAAGTAAAGAATATATGTTCTTGACTGTGTCATATAGATATCACTAAATGTTTGCATTCTAAAGTTCAAGAACAAAACAAAACAAAACATCTTCATGTTACATAGCACAATTAAATCATCTAAATGTTATAAACTTTATTGATATTATTTAAAAGCATTCAAAAACACATAGTTCAGTACTTCCAATGCATTTAATCCAATGTGTAAGCACAAATCAATATAATATTATGATTTATCTAACAAATTTACCCATATTCCTTAAATCATCCACAGCTTCATTTACGTCAGCAATGTCATATCCCATTTCTAGACACGTGGTTTTGTGTTCCTCTAGCGCAGCTCTTAATACAGGATCTCTAAGTGTCATCTGATCCATTGCTCCTTGAAGATCCTCACTACCAACACTTTCTTCATTATTCGTTGGTCCCTAAAATGTTAACATATCAAAACGTCAGAATTAATAGATCTATGCATTAAAATTACAAACACATTTGATGAGGTTTGTTAAATTTTCTTCTTTATTGCAAGCGTTAAATATGTCACAGCGAGGTGATTTTAATGAAGCTTCTTTTTCAAGTCTTAGTGAATTGCAGAATTATAATCATCATCTAGGGCCAGAATATGAATGCTACAAAAATTGCATTACAAAGGTTCCATTTACACCACAGAAAGAAGACATGTATAGTTAGTATTCATACTTTTATGTGTTTTTCAAATATGATATTTTTCAATATTAATCAAATTTAGGAGAATTGATGCCTAAGCGCTTTAAGTAACATACGCCTAAAATAAATTGATTAACACTCTTAAGCACTTTGAAAAGTAATACAATCAAAAACGGACCTCCTGATTATACGCTGAAGAAGCTAAGACAAGAGCTATAAAGTCCTCGCCTTTTCTTTCCCTTGCATATGGGCATGTAGGGAACCAACGACAATGCTCAGTCCACGGGACGTCTTCAGCATCCCAGCGCTTTAACCCTCCATCACAACTGAAGCATCGTACAAGATCTTCAACACCTGTTGGTACCAAAAAACAATAGAGAAAACAAAAAACATGCACGTATAACAATAGTTAAATACAGAAAATCAATGCAAAGTTTATAGAGATTAAAGAACACATTAAGTACTATAATTTACATATACTAAATTGACCAGATGTTAAAACTGTCTTGTTCGACATATCTCTGCTCTCTTCAAAACAAAATCCTTTTAAATGCTTCACATGACCTATGTAAAAGATTACAAAAGGCATGTAGTTAGGTTTTTGACCCAAGCGGAGCTTCTTTAAGAAAGTTAAAGTTATCATTTTAACTGAAATCGTACAAGGACATAAAACAGAAGAGAAAGATAAATATTTTAAATATTTTACCTATATAAAATAGCCCAGCATCTGCTAAATCTTCTGGTCTTTGAGACAGTTGACTCGGGCCAGCCAGTAAATAGAGAGACGGGAATTCATAAGACTGAATACTTTGGATTGTCGACACTGAAGTAGCGGAATCTACAGGAATAGAAGGCTATTACAATCAAAATTTTATAATTATAGGACATACAACATTTCTTTATTCGATTAAACCTGACAAAACGTATTATAATTTTTCCTTTCCTTTTGGCATTTAATGCAAAAGGTCGTGTTGTTTCTTTATGTATCAGTAGCACGTATTGTTCCTTAAAGCTTTAGAAAATCCTAATGTTTCTGTTTCCACAGTGCTATACTCAACCTTTTTTCACTTTAATTGTGTTAACTTCCGTCTTTAACTTAAGGCGAAGAAGGAAATTTATTACATTTGTTTTGAGATTTTTATATATGTACATTAATTTTATGTATATTGTTTGTTTGGTTCTATTCTTTTGAACAAACTCGCATTATTACTGCATGCACTTAAAAACTGATTTACATGAAAGTGGGCGTCCTCGACTGAGAAGTTTAAGTTCCCAATCGCTGTTGTGCCGAATCACATCATGGACATTGAATTCTTTGGAATATTGTTACTCTTTATAAGCTCCTAAAATTTGTCTTTTTTGGACACTGGTTCAATAATTTGGAGACGTTAAGGACGCTGATTTTAAATCACTTGGTCTTCACCGCTTTAATTTTGAGTTTCTTCAGATGCTTTTGATTCTTTCTTGTTAGCAAGCTATCCAGCCAGCTTACGGAACGCAGGTGGTTCTATTCAGGTGCCTGCTCTTACCTTAAATAATTCACGAAAGGGGCATTCGGGGTCCTCCTTCACCAGTACAGATGGAAAATTGCTAAATGTCGGTGTGACTTAAATAGCAACAAAACACAAAAAACCAGATATTACTTACTTCCTTGAATTCTTTGTTGTTCCTGACAGCTAGCCTTAAAATCAAAATGTAAAATAACATATAAGTAACAGACGTAACAATAGCATTGTTATTGACAAAAGAGGATTATTCAATTACATCTTTTAATGCATTGTCAGAATTATGCCAAGTGATTTAAGACGTACATTAAATATTTAGTAAAATACAATATAACAATGAATATATAATTGATATTCAGAAAATAAATGATTACATGTTTTGCCAAATATCGGACACCATAGACATTTGAACTTTATTTGTTTTTGAATAAAAATTGACACATCAGATATGATTCATCAAAGAGATAATATATCAATTTTATTTAGTTTCCAGAGGTAGAATAAATAACTAGTATGTTAACTTATCTTCCTTTGTGTATAGGTTGTTGAGATTTTGTCATTATTTTTTATTGATATGTTTACATTGTACCTTTATGGAAGCTAATGTTTCTGTTCCAAGATGTTCAAGGAGGTACAGACAATTTCCAGAATGTCTGACGTGTTCCCGCAAAGGATCATCACGATCTGTAAAGTCCTTTAAGCCTATCCCACAACTGAAACATCGCACTAGATCCCCTTCATCTGAAAAAAAAAGAATATTGAAGTAAATCTGCTTTTATTTTGCGACGACTGTCACAAAATTTAAGAATATTCAACTCTTAATCAGAACCTCTTCGTCTTCATACAGTGACATACAATAAGACGAATTTAAGAGCTTTATGTGAACTGATGAGTATTGAAAACGTTTTCAAGTAAAGATAGCTTAGACTTGAATTGCACTGAAGTAATACTTAAATTGCAGTGATTTGTGTATGAATTAAAATTATTGCACACAAATCAGTTTTTCTTGATCATTTAATTTATGATTGAGACATTGCTTACAGTACAATGATTTTAGAGCAGTATGCTGTAAAAATACATTACCCACATAAGAATATCAGCAATACTTATAACAGCAGTGATATCTATATAGAATTCATATAGACATATTAATTTAGCAAGACTACACCCAACTTTTTTTATAAGACAGAAAATTTGTTATCATTCAGATGATTAGGAATGATATATCAATTATTCGTTATCGTTTAAATAAAATAATTCTAGGGTTTCACATGTGTTAAAAATACTTGTAAAGAAGAATCCTGCATCGCAAAGACAAACTGGATCAGGGTTTGTTCGAGTCCATCTAGCAAATGATCTAAGTCTTTCACCGTAATCAGCATACATAGGATGTCTGGCTTGGTGCGTTAGTCCTAGGGTAGCTCCGGTCACTCCATAATGTGGAGATGGTAACCTAGCTGGGTCTCTTTCAGGCGGGTTTGAAAATCCATCCCTGACATAATAAGTCTCAGAGTTCATGGAATATCCGTTTACATGACTTGGAAACGAGGCTCCGTTTGAAAAGGCAATTTCACTCCTGTCTTCACTTGCTTGGTCAGCGGAAACCTGTTGTGGAAATTCGTTTCCAGGACGATGGAAAGCAGCCATGATGATATATAGTCAATTTAAGTTATGCTTGTAAATAGTTGTTTTATTATTTAATTCATTTTATTAATAAAAAAAGAATATTGCACTTGTTTTGTTAGCCCCGTACTACAGATTTTGAATTCAGAAATGTCTGGAAAAGTTACATATCCCCTCTGTCAAGTGTTCTTTTATTTAGCATTACGTGAGAACCGTCGTTCACACTGGTGTACAAATGGCTCGAATATGCCTCACAGATGTCCCGTGCAATTATTTGTCTATAATTTCTCACTGCTTTCCATTCAGTACGAGACAAGCATTTTGTACCATAAAAACATTTTCTTAATTGACATCGTTTTTTGTAAAATGCAATGAGTTCTGATTTTGATAAATACTTAGCGTTCATAAACTTAGTGCAATTCCATTTCATTGTAATGAGCGTACCAGGCCAACAAAGCTCTGTTGAAATATCTGAAAATTAACAATAAAATATAACTGAATTTAAACCAAAAATGTATTACTTTTGGTAAACAGAAGTATTTTTTGTCAGGAATCTAGACATATATGTTTACGTACAAAATTAATTTATACTGTTAAACGATGCACATTTAAGCATATTTGATAAATGATCATAAAAAAATTAAACAGCAAAATATAAATATACATGACCTTGTTGTACAATCCTAATTTGCTGTTACCGCCGCAATATTTGCAATAAATGACATTTAAGCACACATATTGATTGTTTTTAGCAACGAAAAAAAATCTTTAACCGTAATAAATATATAATGCACCCGGCAAATACTCTTATAAGTTGAAGTTTATTTCCCCAAACAAACACTGTTTGTAAATTGCTGTAAACAAATGCCACAAAAGAACTTTATCAATGTTTTTTTGAACTTCTGAATTCAACACTATGGTAAACATGTTTATAAATATTTTACGCACTAAAGTAAATAGTTTAACTCACTTGGCTATTGATGAAATGCATTTGAAGCAAAAGTATCGAAAAAAGTTATGCTTTTACTAAAATTGATTAACTAGCATTGATGCATAGACAATTTAACGATTTAAGAGTGAATTTATATATAAAACGAATCTACGTTCTACTTACTTAAATAGGGCAGACGATTCAATATCTTTGTACACAGCTTACACACAAATAAATGACCTGATTTAGTTTCAGTATGTATTCCTTTATACATTATTAATATTTCACCAAGTAATCTGCATATATTTCCCTTTTAATAATCACAAATTGATTTAGTTTAATTTAAAAAAGACTCCCTTCATCCGTTCACACAAACTATAAATCGACAGAATTTAGAGCTAATGTTTACAAACACAGAAAATGGGAAACCATTATTATTAACTGTTTCTATTTTTAACATTATTGTAAACACATCCTGGTGACCTACAAAATCAACATTATTATTTACATTACCGGCTGATCTGAACATGGATTTACATAAATGTTTGACAAATGTTAAGGTAGTATGGAGTTATTGTTCCGGTTGAAGATTATCTTATGATTTTATAAAAAAACATATTGATTTAATTCATAACAAAATGTATAGCTTACAGATACATTTACAAATCATTGACGTGTATGCTTTATTATAATTACATTTTGACTGACTATAATTATAATAATTTCTGTGAACATTAGGTAATATAGGCTACAACCTGACTGAAGGTCAGATCTAATGAGAAGCGTTAATTAGGAGATTATTTGCAGATATAATGGAACAATTACCAATTATGACTGTTTTAAAACATTCACTATAATTGGATGCATCTTGAGGCGTGCTCCTTTGATATATCAGAAACTTAAACTGTAGATGATATTTTATAAGTAAATTCAAAATGCGAGCAAATATGGTATTTCTTTTTTTTAAATATTATCTTACAAAGACTGCAATTGACAATTCCTGAAAAATATACTTAAAATGCATATATATGAGTTTTTATTATTTTCACTTACAGATCTTTGTTGTGAAGATTCTCATGATATAACACGGCATACATAATGGTTATTTTCACACATTAAGTATAACAGCAATATCAAACATAACTAATGTGGAGTCTGTATTCCATATTATTGTTAACTTATTTTCAACTATGCATCTGATATTTAATGTGTAGAAACTGCATTATTTGAAAACTTACAAAAACAAATGGATTGCAAGCACAATCAATCATTTTAAAATAAATTCCACTCTCTATGCGAGTCTTATTGAAAAGAGTACCATTTTATCAATATCCATCTAAGATAAGTAAAGATAACAGAACTAATTGCAAATCTAAAAATTGTCAAAAAGTAAATACTATAAACTGTTTTGTCCTCGCACTTCCTATTTAAGACACTTAAATCGTGGTGTTCAAATTTTCTGACATTCAGTCAACTTTTCAAAGTCACATTCAACAAACTTAAAGGACAATTATTAATAATGTTATATGATTTAAAAAAAAAGACTCGATCAATTGATTAGATGTAAAATAAGCTTTGAATTCGAATACTAACTATAGATAATATGTCTATGTAATTTATACTAAATAAGTTGACACGCAAATGTTTAATGGACAGATTTTGTTATGATTCTATTTTGCTTATGATAAGTTATTATTAGTTGGAAAATTAGACGATGTTTTTATCATTTTAATTCATTATCTATTTCCAAAATTATCTTTTTAGTTTCGCGAGCGCCAAAAACACACTTCTAGAGACCATTCTCTATAGAAAACAAAGACACATTACTTAAGCAGTGTTTATCTTTGTATGGCTGAATACATCTGCACATGTTTTTTTATTTAAATTTATCTTTATCTGGGACAAAATTACGACTTCGATTTGATGCAGTGCTAGGGATCACAGAAAACATCCCGGATAAAAGCGGCCTTCAGATTTTCTAAAGGTTAATATGTTATCTTGAAATAAATCGTTTCACATAATTGTCAAATTAAAAGAATCAAATGGAAAATGAAAATTGCCGTCAATAAAATACATAAACAATTAGTAAATCCCTTGATACATCTACTCTACTGGTCCGCGCTGTAAATTTTTAAAGCGGACGATTCGTTAAGAGCTGAAGGCCGTGTCATCATGAACAGTCTTTATCTTAACGAATCTGCAACATTTACAATATTTCAATGATGTTTAACGTTTGTTTTCTAATTTTACCTCTTTATAAAAATACGATCAAATTGATAAACGGTGTGTGGCTGTACTCTTCAGAGAAAACAAACCAAACGGGTGTGATATTATTGAAAGGCTACATGAAAAAAATGCTGTAACGGTTATTCCAATGTTCCACAAAACAGCTGATTTGTAGTGCATATTTTACACAAGTTTAACGTTAATGTAATATTAGATAAAAAAAAATCATAATAAGAAGTTGATATATCAACTTAAGAAATAAATTGAAGGACATCTTTTACCATTTCAAAGTAAAAGCACTAAATCCAATTATTTTTGACTTCTGTAAGTTCATCAAAATCAAGAAAGGTTTTATGAAATAATGATGATATTAATATAAATATAATATATATAAATTCAATAAACTTGATATGTCTGTATTGAAATCATGCTTTGAAATTCTTATCATGAACTCATACATGTAAGATTTAAGCAAATTATTACAGGCAAATTTTAAACATCTTTAAAACCTTCCATAGAAGTCGATATATTATAATGGTTAGGATGTAGATAAATAAAGAAACTCATGACTCAGTTTAGTGTTTATAAAACAAGAATTGTAACAAAAAACGAAAAGAATAAATACCTTGAAAACATGTTAAACCTTGTTTGTAAAAATTCTTCAACATTTGAATTTAGCACGCTTAAGCCACGTTTAATTTGATTGGTTAATGGTCACGTGGTACCTGCTGGAAAATTGAAAATCCGGTATTCAAATTAGAAAAAACAAAACATTTAAATTTTATTTTGCAAGTGCTTTTCTCTTGCATTAAATTTTTGCATAGTTACTCACGGGAATTCGTGTGCATTAATCATAGTACATTAAATGAAAACATATCTAGAGTATGTGTTAACAAATATTATTGATACACTTACCAATTTCGTTCATAACTTCCTTGTTATAGTATGTCACGGTCTGTTTGAAATAGGCCATATGATTATTTGTTTGTTTGTTTCATTTACGCCTTTTCCCAACAGTATTTCAGTCATATAGGCGGGTAGTTTCCTAACCATCGTTCCTTGAGAGTTACACCAGTACTAGACTACATTCCTTCGCGCTTAACTACCAAAGCATCTCCCGGGGATCGAACCCCTGCCAAAGAGGTAACTGGATTAGAAGTCATCGACTCTAACCCCTCGACCACGAAGGCGGTTGTAGGCCATATGATAAAAGCTTTAGCCATATGATAAAAGCTTAGCAACTCATATTTACAATATTGTTTTTCTTCCCGGTTATGCTAAATGGACTTGTGTAAATGATCCCGTATTAGTTAGAGCTTTTAAATGTCAACGGGGTTGAAGGCTACAAGTAATGTAGAATACCAGCTTCAGATGTTTTATTTTCCAAGTACATCAAATGATTATAATATGAATGTTTACGATTGAATCGCACATCTAGAAAAAATAAAGGAAATTAACAAATGTCGCAAGACATATTGGTGAGTGAATAAGATTTATTTCGTTTAAATAAAAAAGTAACTCGGAAAGTCATATATACTTATGAAGAATTTAATATCTGTATCAGTTCGCAGCTGAAGACGTAAATGAAACTTAGATAACGATATTATTTAATTGGCGACACTACCTTAACCGTGTATACATGTACGTGTAATAAACAATTAAACAATACATGACGACAATACAGCTGCTGTAGAATTATATGAAATATATAACATCACAACCTTTAGCGTTTAATGAAGTCTATTTTACCAAAGATTACAAATTAATACTTTATGAGAATTTTTCTTCTATTATTATAAGTGATAAGATATGATTCATATCATCATTATACGTGTTTAGTCTCCTTTAATGTCATTAACATACACGGCGTAAAGACGTTATGAATGATAGTGTTTGTACATTGTACACAATCAATACGGGTTTTGTTATGGCACGAAAAAGTAGTGCTTACAGTCAGATTATCACAACTAAATAATTTTTTTTTACTCCGTCCGGTATTTTTACACGGCAATTTTTCTCTAACGACTTAACTAAATAATTATAATTTCATGCTTTTAAAACTGACATTGTCTGAAATAAAATTTTATTCATTGCAACAGTAATCTAAAGCTGCATGTCGAATATCTAATATCAAAACACAACTGTGATTTCTTAATAAATTTGCAAACTTAATGACATGTTAGTTGTGATAGAAATTAGGATGATTCGAAAAACACATTTTGATAAAGCACGCAAGCGTACTTAAACCAATAATGAGGTATGGAATGCATTTTCGTAGAATTGAATGCTAAAATAAACGACAAAAAATGATGTAATAAAATAAGTTTTATTTGTGTCTGCCTTAACAGTAATTGATAACATGTTCATCATTGAAGTGACGTCTCTATTTTCTCTTGAATCTGGTAACCGCAAGCTGGACACTGTAACAAATCTTTTCCACAATCAGCACAAGTTTTGTTATGAGCACATGGAAGGAAAAGAATACCAACAATCCGTCTCATACAAACCATACAGAACAGCATGCTTTTAAGACGCCGGTTTTCTTGAAACGATTGTTCTAAAAATATTGAACAAACTATATAAATTCAAACCTCGTTATTATGCTGTACAGTCATTCAAAAATGTAAGGTATTTACTGCGTTTCAAAGAATGTGATAAGTAATAAAATAACTCCAAATAAATAATAAAAACTAGCTTTTGAAATGAATTTACAATTGTTTACAAACAACTTCTATATTCATATTTGTTTCTATAATAAAAATAATTAAGAGTTTACCATAATCATCATCATCTTCTTCTTCATCGTCCGTCATATTCTCAATGAATCCATCTTTTACAACAGCCACTAAATTTACAATATCATAAACTGATGGCTCCGTGATACCTGAAAATCAAAACAATATGCAGTATTTTATAAAAGAGCATTTCTGTTATAGAATACAGGTAAAAATCTAATATCAATTACATAGAAATGAATTCATCTTTTGTAATAAAATTATTTAAAGTAATTTAAGTTCTAATGTGAATTTCTTGAAACTTTCTAATCCGCTTCTTGGTACTAACCATTACTAGTAACACATGACAATACACGGCCGTGACATTTTTTTTGGTTATAGTAATGATCCCTGGAACGAGGGGCGTACATCCCAACCATAGGCCAAGAGCTCAAATTATTGAATGAAATTGCAGTTAAATTCATGTGTATATCATCTGATTTCAACAAAAGACATTGATAAAAAGCAACAAATATCGGTATAATAATCATAAATTATATTACCCTCTATGGCAACATACCTAAGTTTCTTAAGTGTATAATAGCTTTCATGAAGTAAGAATCTGTATATCCCATTTGTAAAAGCCTGTTTCTGTTTTCTTCAAGAACAGCTCTCTGTAAATGTTGTTCCATTCCTGAACGGGTTCGATCATTTGTATCATCAGGGCAATGGAATATCTTTATCAGTAAAAAAACATCAAATAAGTCGTCTACATTTGTACTCATTTCACATATCTAATGATAACACATATAAAAATCTTTATTATCATAAATAAGTAATTTGAAATGAAATACAATGAAACTTGATAAAATAGAGATACATGAACAAAATCACCTCATTTTCAAAATCTGACCCAGAAAGTGCCTGGTTTATAAATTGCTCTCCTTTATGCTCCCAGGTAAACGGACACAAGGGAAACAGCCGGCAATGCTCTATCCAAGGATCATCTTCAAGTGCCCATTGACGTATGTGTCCTCCACAGACGTAGCAACATACACAGTCATCATAACCTCGTAGAGAAAAAAACGAACATATCTAAGATAACGAAAGACAAAAAGGGACTGTTGTGGGGAATAGTAAATTATTCAGTATCAATATCAAAACTCATAAAAATGTCATTGCTCTAAAATAGGCGAAATCATATGATAAATCACAAATGCTAAATTCAATACACACCAGTGAAGAAAAGTCCAGCCCTTGTCAATTGCTGCGGACTCTGCTTTATTTGTTTTGGCCATCTTTTATAAGTCGAAAGTCTTGTTGCTTCGGATTGAATTCTAGAGTACTTTGGCACATACCTCGGTGAACGTGACTCTGTAATATACAATGCATTTTATCTTCCAATCTATCTTATTCATGAGACCCAACCATGCGCTTTCTTGACATCTTGGATTAAACAATCGCAAACAATTTATATGAAAGGCTCACATTTAAAAAACATGATAAACAGTAGAGTAAGGATTCAATTAAAAAGAGAATACAATCATACTTATTACATGTATGACTTTAAAATGTCGCTTCAGATTGCAAAACAAATGATTTCCTATCTGATAAAAACATCAGTATCAGTATAATTTTTATCTTGTTGTAACCGGCGAGGCACATATCACATAATTATGTGTTGTTATGCAAATAATGCCTACGATTTCAATCTCACTCACCATACAGATCTGAATTTACATTCAAGGCGGTTATGTCCTAGTATACCTTATATATTGATATAATCAATACATCGTAACAAGACAAACAAAGTTATTTAAGTTTGACAAACCAGGTTTTGTTTATAACTTACGACAGCTTTCAGTACGACTTGGTCTGTCATCCTGTAACAAAATGGCAGCATGAATTGTCATAAAATAATATTAAAATGTCATTCTTAAACCTGTGTGTTATTATTTCCGTATTGAAAAGCATTGTATACTAGATTAATCAAGAAATGAAACTAATTGTATAAATTGCTAGCATTGAAAGATTGGAACTTTTCCTGTGAGTGAATGCTTTTCATGTTAAAGTCAAAACACAACCCGCATTTTGTTTACTATTGGTAGGTAATGTATGTTAGACATAATAATATTATATAAATTAATCAAATTTTTTAAAAGTTCTAGCATTACAAGCTTGGAACTATTCAGAATGCCTTAAAAAGTGTAAAGTGAAAATGCAACACACTATCTTTATTTCCTTGAAAACATATGCCAATATAAAAATGCCTTAAACTACAAATTTTCTTATTTAAAAACGACATAAAATCAAACACTACAATTGGACAAAAAGCTTTTGACTTATAATTTAATTACCATGCTCGGTGTTTCAATCATTTCTACCGTCAGAGAACAGTTGAACGCAATACTCTGCCCACAAGGCTCTGTTTCTAATTGACTGCCATTTGAACTTTCATTGATGTCAGGATCCTGAGTACTTTCAGTTAACGATTCTTGTATTGGATATTTGTCAGCCATATTCGTAAATTATATCGTGTTACTATTTGATGAATTCAATTAAGCCAATTTAGTATGTTAAACACTATAAACACGACTGATGTAGACACACTGATATGTTTTAATAACAATTTACAAAATCAAATATGGTGTCAAAATAAGAGTTAAATGAAATTTAAACAATACGAGTGTTGGTAATAATATTCTTCTTTTCCCCTGTCTATAGTCCTTGAGTTTAGCATTGGATGCGAGCCGTCATCTCTGCTAGTGTACAAATGACTGGAGTTAGCTTCACATATATTGTTGGCAACTATGTAGTCAGAATTCGTAGGACAGTGTATGTAGTTATAACGTGTTTGAAATCTGTATTGACCTGATTTTGAGAGTGTATTTTTCCCTTCAAAATTTACAACTGACCCCACTGAAACCTTTTGTCCCATTCTTGAGTCATAATTGATGATTCTGAAACGTAAAGGCGACATAGCGATTTTAGTGCAAAAACGTATTGTTTATAATAAATTAGTTCTGGATTCGCTTTGTCGTTTTTATTTTGACGTTTTGCGACAGTAAACAGGTCTAACAGTACTATAAAACCTATTTGCGTAACTCTCTTTAAATTAGTTTGTTTGATTGGGTTTTACGTCCCATCGACACAGTGTAGGTCATATCGCGACGTTCCAGCCCTTCCCTGCATTATTTCAGGCACAAACGGACACCTGAATAGAACCCCGACGTTCCGTAAGCTGGATTCGAACCCACAGCGGTGAGGGGAAAGTGGTTTGAAGTCAACTACCTTATTCACTCGGCCACTGACGCCCCTCTTTAAATTAGCTAAAAAATAAAAATACATGTATGCACACTTAAATTAACTTTTATATGTACATATTTACCAATATTCATTTAATTCCAACAAAATTTGTATCATCTTTCACAAATCTAACTTCGTTTTTCCAACACTCACTCATGAAGTAACGTTGACAAATAATGTCTGTTAACGTTGCAAAGTTTTACTTTTGTAAACAAAAATCAGCTGATTTTCATTTACCCAGGTCAAGGTCATATATTCATTTTCGGAAAAGCACTAGATATAATATCATGTTGGGATTCCAATATATGACAAACATAAAACGCTTGACTACCTATCCCACACGAAAGAGAAGAAAAATTCACATGTCCTTGAAATTGTTCAACTGTGCAGAAATCGATAACACATACGCTAAAAAAGAATACGGGTCTTAAATTGTTTAAAGTGTTTTGTTAACCACGTAATGTTAAACTAGAGCACAATGACAAGTTACCGATTATTGCACTACTTAGCTGGTATATGATAATATGTGTAATAATATACACGATTGTTCATTAACAAACATGAAACATGAACCATTTTATTTGATTAAACGCCTATTTCAATAACAATTTTCAATGGCGTTGTACAATGGTACATATAAAACGTTTAAATGGATAAAATGATAAAATCTTACTACAAAAAATAAAAAATAATTGTGAAATCAAATCAAACAATAAAAATAACATTTAGAAAGCTAACGTACAAAGAACTCCTCCCTCAAGGACCAAAACACACGCAAGTCTCCTATGCTTTGTGTCTACATTAGTCTTCACCGCAAGAGTATGCAAACTGGGCTGATCCAACCAATATAGACACACACACGCACGCACACACGCAAGTTTAAAATAAGTACAATATATAGAAGCTGTATGAAAAAAATGTAAGTCGTTATCACATTTGTACTTTATCAGATCACTTTTCTATCAGAAAAAAAACAACAGAACTATATGAATATCCAAACTAGAAAAAAGAGAAATAGTCTCTGAAGTACCATGTTTTCAGTTTACTTTTGAAAATGTCTACAGAGTCTGACTGACGAATGTCTATTGGAAGTTCGTTGGAAAACTGAATTCAAACTTCCAGAATCATTTGAAGAAGATAAAATAATTTGTTTAAATATGTAAAAGTATCAAATTAAAAAACTCAAGCATCTAAAGGCTTAAACAGTTTTGGCAAGATAAAAAACCGTCTTTTTCATATTCATTTTTTTCCCCAATATATGAGCTGATCGATCGTTTGCTATTACCATTTCTTTGTAATGAGGACAGTTAGTTTTGTTGCAACACAATGACTTTTCGTTATTGAGTAATCGCAATGTACAACCGTTTTCTTTTTCGTTGCTGCATAACAATGTATACTTGCTCTATATCAGAAGAAAATGTTGCAATAGAGTCTTGTTTCTTTTCAAAAGTTGATTTCTAACATTTTCTAATATAATAATTTAATTCCCACTACTGTGCACGCCAGCGTATTTTAGGCGCACATCTTGTCTCTAAACTCTGCTAGACAATCTCGCCAGATAAGACATTTCTTCGTAATATGTGTTTGACATACCTGTTTGATAGATCCCTAGAAGATTCTACAAATGTCTGAGAATATAAATCTTCTTGGTCATCTTACTAAATATGAAGACCTTCTTTTAGCTATCAGTTCTTCAGAGCTTCAGATAGTAAGTGGTTATGCCGGGATTAATTAAATGTAAAGGAAGACAATAATAAATGCCAATTTCTTTATATGAAATGCTTATTGATATTCCGATAAGACATAACAATTCAAGAAGTTTCTGCATGCTACAGGTTTCATATTAATTAGGCGTTGACTTTTATTATTCTTTTTGTAAGAAGAAACCGTATAAACGATATAAATTTGAATTGAGTCTACATTTATCGAAGGAAACTAATATTTTATTCAGTAGAAATGTTGTACTTTGTTTAAATATGTAAAAATATCAAATTAAAAAACTCAAGCATCTAAAGGCTTAAACAGTATAATATTTAATCACAGGAAAGTTTGCTTTTAAAGGTCTTTCTGTCCTGCGTTGACTAGATTGTATTTATTTAATATACACTTACATGAATGTGGACTCCTGTTATAGCACGTGTATGGTCTGCGTTGGCATAAATCTGAACGAAAGGATGGTCCATATCGTACTTTCTTCAACTACTTTTATCATTTCATTAGTTTAATGGGAGACAGTGTAGAGCCCGGTGATTTCTGCTTGGTCAAATATATCATTACATTGTACGAAAAAAGTGGCTGTTATCTTACAATAGAGTAGATCAATTGTCTGGATCTGATATATTTCATTGTTAAATGTTATTATTAAATCTTCCATTTTACAGACTTATTAACCAACATATTCTATTTTGGTGGTTCAAAACCAATTCCCCAAATTTCACTTTTATGTTATGAGAGCACTTAGTCGCTAAGAGAACCTACATTCTTTGAATAGTTTTTCAAGGCTTTGAAATAACATTCAAATTTACGAGGCCATGTTTACCACCGTATCAATATGAACTGAACACATCTGCATACCATTTCTGGACTTAACTCGAATCATAGTCATGAGTAGAACCAGGAGTTAAACAAGGAGATGCTTTCCATTATTGAGGACAATTTACATTAACATTTGCCGTTCATAAGCAGTCTATATTTTACCGAGTCTGCAACATCTGCAATTTGTCTATGTTGTGAAATCGTTACATTTTCACTGTTACTATTTTTGTCAGAATATGATCAAACAAGTAAAAGATGTGTGGCAATTATTCTTCAGTATTGACAAATGGAATTTAATATGCACAGAAACAATGCTTTACTTGACACAAGTAAGGGGTCATTTCAAGGTTGAAATAGCAGATTGCTCGAACTGTTCGCATACTTCATATCCTTTTAACGTAAAGATCGACAATACTTACTGACATGTAAGTTTTGGTGGTAAGATATACATTCAATATATCGTAAAGTGGTTATTAAACAGAGACCGTTTGTAATTTTTACAAGTTTTATGTCTTACTAACTATAATTTACATGACAAACCTTTCGTCTGTCTGCTTAATAAACACTCTGTCAACTGCGCTGTCCAGCTTTATATCATATACAATAATGAATATACGAACTATAGAGTTATTAATGGAAACTATGACATATTGACCAACCAGTGTGCATTTTCAAACACACATACTGTCATATACACTACTATTAATATTTGTCAAGTTTAACGTGCATATGCATGTTATGAAATAAAAAAACTTGTGTGCATCATTCATTTGAATCATAAAACTATATATTATGTACAATTAATCTTAAAGTTAATTCGTTAATTTAACGAACTGTATGTTATTTTCATGTTACTTATATACATGTAATAGCATTATTTTTGCAGTTTCCTTTTCAGTGGAATCATTTGTACAGATCTTTATTTCCAGACTATTACAAAAGTAAATGCTTTTGAGTTACAGCTCATTATTTCAATCTGTGCAACTTGCATGTATGATTCAACCCGTTTTTGTACACAGCTATAAATCGAAAAAAAAAATTAGAGTGTAACCTGTTTTTGCACACACATATGTAGCCTAAACAGATTCACTATATGAGTGCAACCCGTTTCTTCACACACCTTTATACCCTTAAGAGATTCAAATTAAGAGTGCAATCAGTTTTTTGTACACATTTATATACACTTGACACATATAATTTTAGAGTGTAAACGCATAAGTACTCTACATATATTGAATTTAAGAATACAACCCATTTGTGTACATACATAAAACCTTAATTAGATCAAATGTAAGAGTGCAACCTGTTTTTGATCAATACTATATAGACTTAATTGATATAATGTAAGTGTGCAACCCGTTTTTGCACACGCATAAACACCTTATATAGATTTAATTTTAGAAGGCAAGCTAATGCTGTACAAAACATAAATACTTTAATTAAAGTCAATATCTAAGTGTAAAATATAATAAACAAGATCCACAAGGAAAGGCGGCGTTCAAAGAACGCAACCCGTTCTGCGCCCACCTTTATACCCTAAAGAGATTCAAGTTATACAAATCTATATACAATTCTAGAGTGCAACTCGTTTTTGCACATGCATAAGTTTAACCAGTTCATGTTTTTTGGTCTTTTCGTTTATTTACCAACTTCATTCTTAAATATGGTATTCCAACTCGTCTACACTCAGATCAGGGAGCTTATTTTGAAAGTGAATTAATTAAAGAATTATGCCAACTTATAAACATTAAGAAATCACACACAACATATTACAAACCACAAAGGAATTCGGGTTTGGATCGCTTAAACCGGACATTGCTTTGCATGCTGGGGACACTGGAGAACTCGCAGAAACCAGACTGGAAAAATACATCTATAGATCCATTGGTCTTCGCTTACAAGTGTACAGCTCATGAATCTACAGGACTCTCGCCCTTTGAATTGATGTTTTTAAGAAAATCAAAACTATAAAAAGATGCTATGTTTGAATTGGCAGGAGAAGAAACAGAAGCAAGAAACACACAGAAATACATACAGCTTAGAGAAAGAATGAAGAAAACCAGAAAACCAGTTAATTAGTTTCAATACACTGTATATAAAAGTAACCTGTTTTTTCACATACATATATAACTTAATTTAAAGAGTGCAACTCGTTTTTGTAGACACCTTTATACCCAGATAGAGTCTATATAAGAGTGTAACCCGTTTTTGTACACATTTATATACCCAAGGGATATTTAAATCCAAAGAGTGCAACCCGTTTTTGTACATATATTTATATCTTTGATTGATTCAATTTATTAGTGCAACAACTATGCACAACTATATATCGGAGACAGATTCTATATATGTGTGCAAGCTGCTTTTGTACACACTAGATTCAATATCAGAATGCCGTTTTTTCACACACACACGCACACGCACACACACACGCACGCACGCACGCTCACACACACATAAAATTTAAACAGAAATATGTATATAATTATGTAAACATTTTATCATAAATAACAGTTATTACAATATATATATTTGATACGTTTCATTTCTGTTTAAATTTATGAATAACATATATATTTGTCGTTTTTGTAAACAAATATTGTAATTTTTTGTTTCATGTGCACTTGTTAGTTTCTATATATCGAACTTCTAACATCAGAAAATCTGCGGTTTATTGGTTCTTTAAATACAAAGTGAATAAATCAT